CAGTTCTCCTAAAAAGAATAGTAGCTGAATGAAGCCTCCAACTCTTGTTCCTTCCACGAGCTAAGAATCCATTTCAAGTCGCATTTTTGGGCAAGAAGGACGCCTTAGTATTTGACTTCTCCTTCAAGCAAATTAAACTCGAGGGAATGCTCCATTCCTCACCCCGCTCATGATCTTCATTATGGCAATTAATGAACAAGGGAAATATTACCAATCCAACAAAGTGATACATTAAAAAAAATAATACAACGTGAGACAAAAAACCCTCAATTGGTCACACCAAGGAATCACTAGTTCTCTATTGCCACAGCCCTCTCAGTCAGGCTGGAAATTCCATGTCTGATTTTTATGATTCAGTTGGTTGAATCTGTTAATAGAGTGTTGGAAAAAGAAGAAAAAGAAGAAGAAGAAGAAGAAGAAGAATTTGTATGTCGCAAAAGAAAGTCTGAAATACTTGCATTTGGAAGAAAAACAGAAAGGATAATAATTCAGCAGGTGAAGATGAGCATCCCCTGTTATTTGAAGGCACAACACAAGTCGCACAATATAGATTTTTTTTAACTCACTTAAAAAGACACCTAAGGAACATCAAACCTCAGGGCACAAGGAACAATATTTTAATTTCTTTGCGATTGGAAGATGTCATTAAGGAAGGCTTCAAGATCAGTTTCTGAGGATCCACCATTCTCAATTGTTCCTCTGCAGATTTTACTAAGTTCCTTTGCCCTTCTCCTCAATTCTTTCACCTCTTCTTTCTCCGAATCCATGAACTTTTGTATCAGCTCCGCAATTTCTTCTCTTGGTATCAACCCATCTTCTCCCATCTTGCCATTCGCCCTCCACCCAATCTCCCAATCTTCCACGATCTGTTTACTGTTCGAAGTCTGATCCCAGTAAATCGGAAAAGTAAGCATGGGAACTCCGCAAAAAATGGCTTCTGACGTCGAATTCCACCCGCAATGTGACCAAAATCCACCGATGGAAGGGTGGCAGAGAACCCTCAATTGGTCACACCAGGGCACCACTAATCCCTTTTCACCACAACTGTCTTTGAACCGAGAAGCCTCCTTACGCGCCACCCAGAAGTACCGGACTCTGCTGAGCCTCAGTCCCGCCTCAATTTCTTCCAACTGGGCCTTTGAAGCAGAATGCAAACTTCCTTGTGAAACATACAAGACAGAACCTTTTGGTTGCGAATCCAGCCATTGCAAGTGATCATTAGTTGCAGAGGGAATATTGTAGTCTTCCAGCTGCTTGAAGTAAGGAATCGGAAAGCCAATGTGGTAAATTGGAATGGACAATTTTCCCCTTAAAGCATCAATGATTTCAGATTCAAGTTCGTAGACTGAAACGAGAAGAAGATACTGCGCTTTGGAGACGCACGAAACGGCTTCCAGCCCACGGTTGAGGACACTGAGGCCTTTCCCGTACAGGCAAGTTGGAAGATCGGCGATTCGAATTGAAGAAACTCCAGGGATATAATCTATTCTCTCTTCTCCTTGTTCTGCAGATCAGTACATAGAACTCAAGAAAGAAACTAATAAGATAAAAAAAAAATTTCTGTTTCGTGAAGGAATAAAGGTGAACGTTCACCGGTTCACGTTCCAAGCATGTTCCAACAGTCATATTTTGGACCTAAACCGCCTTTAATCATTAAACTTTTGCGAATGTTTCTTATTCGGCTCTACAAGAATTGATTCATTCAACTAAACCCTCAAATTATTTTTTTTTTTTTTCACGGAGAAGGCATTTTCCACATAATTGCTTTTTTTTTTTTTTTTGAGTTTTTCTAATATTTGTCTTATTTCTAAGGCATATGTGTAAAAAAATTATTTTTTTATTTTAATTGCATAATAAAAGATAACTTTTTTCAATCTCTTATTTTACTCCATCCTTTTCATATATCATACGATTTAAATTTAAAATATTTTATTTTAAATAAAAAAATTACTATTAAATTATTTAAGTAATTAGTGTTAAAAAAATTATTAAAAAGGGTTAAACCCCCTAATTTGATCTTTCAACTATTATATAAACCTCTAATTTGATCCTTGAACTAAAAAAATCTATGATTTAATTCTTACTGTTTATCAATTTAACTCTAAGTTAGCCATTTTGTTAAAAAAATTGATATATCCATTACTTAATGGCAAAAAACTGTTACTTAACGGTCATGTATTACGTTAATAATGAGACACGTCATTTGTTTATTATAAAAAAACCAACTTGAGGTTAAATTGGTAAACAATATGGATTAAATTAATAAACAATAAGATCAAATTAAAGATTTTTTAGTTCATAGATCAAATTAAAATTTGTATAATAATTGAGAGACGAAATTAGAGATTTAACAATTAAAAAATCTTTTTTTAATATATACATAATAACTGTTAATTTAACTTTGAGGGCACCTATTTTGGTGCTTATTCGCATCATGTGTCCTGATTTTGTTACTTTTGTTGTTTGTTTTTATTTTGATTTAATTTACTTTTTCTTAATTAAAATAATATCAATTTAACGGAGAAAAATACCATTTACGGTTGCTTTGGATTCCCTTAGACAAAGATTTAGGATCTAGACAATTCAAACAAATTTAAAGGGCTAAATCGAATAAATCAAAAAAGCTTGAGAGGTACGAGTTAAAAAAATCCTTTAAAAAAAAAAAAACGTACGTACCTTTCAAAGTAATGGGGAAATGGTGATGCTGGACTAGAAGATCAAGATGATCGAACACGGAATAGACCAACGCTGGCATGGTCCAAAATGAGGCCGCCGGAATATTCCTCCGGTTCCCAATCCGAACACCAAATACCAGATAAGAATCATATATGATGGTGCTAACCAGAGGGTGGAGCTGATCAATTAAACAGTCCACGGGGGCCTCCATCTTCCTTAGAACCTCTTCTAAGAAGTCTGGAGAGTAGTCTCCGGAACGGGCCAGCTCGGAGGTGAGGTCATTGGGGATTGTGCCAAAGCGGATGTTGTCAGGTTTCTGGTCGGAGCCGATCAACCCAAACCACTCCTCGGTTACAACGAAGGTGACGAGGATGTCGGGTTTTTTGGATACCAGTGACCTGCAAAGGTTCATCATGGGGTTGATGTGGCCTCGGGCGGGGTAAGGAACGGCCAAGATGTGGCAGAATGTGGCAGATCCTTCACGATTTCCATTAGCATGGGCCATCTCCGACCGGCTGTGCCTTGATGGTAGCGGTAGGGCAGTCTTGTGTTTTTCGAGGTTTGAAATAAGTTGATATGGAACGGATGGAACCGAGGGATCCACTTATACAAAGTGATCATCGGTGACGACAAGTGTCATGCGTAACAGCTGTCCACTACTAAAATTCAAGTTTTCAGCAACAGTAAATCAGCAACATGAAATCTTTTGTTACTGAAAATTTATATCAGTAACAAGGCTTATGTTATTGAAAGTTGCATAGTACATTTTTTTTTAAAAAAATTGCTCCACTTTCAGCAACAAAGAGTATGTTGATATTTTCCCGTAACCATTTTCCTATGTAATTGAACCCCACTTTCAGCAAGATATCTCTTATTGCTGAAAATTTATATTAACAACAAGACTTATGTTGCTGAAAGTTGCATAGTACATTTTTTTCCCTAGTAGTTGGTCAAGGCCATTATATATATGCCTTTAAGTAAAGAGTCAAATCTAGGAACAAATATTTGACTCTCGAGCATTTAAGAGTCGACTATATATGGTGGACATTTGACTCCTAAATTTTAAAGAATTGAAAACGTTCAGAGTGCTATGTATAGTCGACTCTCAAATTTTAATGAGAGTCGACTCTTGTTGAAAAAGAGTCTACTTTTAATTTAAAAAGTCAAGTATTGACAAAAAATTGTGATAACTTTATATGAAATGTCATATGTATATTCACATATTTTTTTAGATAAAATCAAGTTTTAAATTAGTTAAATATATTAATAAATAATGTAATTATATTAATTAATGTGTTAAATAAAATTTAACAAATTAAATAAAATCAACTACTAAATTAAATGTTAGGTATAAGAATAAATTGCTTAAAGATTAAAAATTTATTAAAATAGGTTAAATAAAATTTTACCTTTACTTTGCCTAATCAGATATAAAAAGGCGAACCCACAAGCTGGGTTCTTTTCTTTTCCATGGATTTTGATTCGGTGATTGGTTGATTTTGTTTTAATTTTTTTCTTTTGAGTTTTTGCTTTTATTTCTTGCAATTTTTCTTGGTTACATTTCTTTCTAAACTCAAACCTCTCTCTCCTTGCCTCTGAAGGATGATGATAAAACTTGATTCTTTGATTGTTTCCATAAAGATGCTGAAGAAGCAAGAAGCACATTTTTATTATTTTGATTATGATGATTATGAAACTTGATTATTTTTTCCCGATTTTAGGTGTGGATTTGTTGCAAATTTTGTCTCTTTAGTCTTTGTAAATTGGTGAAATCAAAACCCAATCATTGTCTGCAATGGCGGAATCGCCAGAACGTGTATATTGCATGGATGGTTGCTGGGTTCTACAAGGAACCTAGCTTTTGGGTTCTGCAGATCTGCAGAACCCAGCTTCTGTAGATTTGCAGAGGTAAAAAAAAAAAAAAGAAGCCTGAGGTAGGAGAGGATAAAATAGAAAGGGGAAGAAGATGGGGGTAAAAGGAGTTTAATTTTAAATTTTAAGGGCCAACAAGAGTATTTTTGCAATACATGGACTAAAAAATGAGTTTTTTCTATAGTAGAGGGACAAAAAAAATATTTAACCATTAAAATTAATAATTTTAATCATTGAATAGAGTGTTGTAGACTATGGCGGGAGAGTGATATTTTAAGTTGGTGAATTTAAAATTTAGAAGGTGGTAAACTTTAAGCAACAAAATACTTGTTGTTGAAAGTTGGTGAATTTAAAATTCAAAAGGTAGTAAACTTTCAGCAACATGGTTTATGTTGCTAAAAGTTATTAAAAGTTTTATATATTCCCCCATCCCCATCCATCTCTCATGCGTTCTGCAGATCTTCTCCCCTACTTCTCCTGCTCAATTCCTTTTCTTTATCCATCTACCATCATTTTTTTTTTTTAGCACATACCCGTCCTCCATATATTTGATCACCCATTTTTATCCATTATATAATATGTTAATTGTACTTATTCTTTGTTATCATCAAATTCTCATACATATCATCAATTGAATAAATTCCATCAATTCTCAAATATTTTTATAAATATTATATTATTAAGTATATATCAATTTATTTGAAAGTT